AGGTCGGGCTAGTGATTGGCGTACATGGTGCAGCATCGTTGTGTGAAACACACAGGGGGTCGTACTTTTCGGCTGGGGAGGGGTCGGACGTGCCTTTGAGGGGAGTTTGGGAAAAATTTCTGTTTCGTGTGCTACATAAGTCCCCCTCCCGTACTTGAACTACAATTTCACACATTACGATGCCGCACCGCTTCGGCGTAATATGCAAGTACCCACAGCGGCTGATTTTCATGAGCCGCCGGATGACGTGTTTCTTCTGTGGCCAACCTACAATGCATGTTATTCTACGTCGCGAACGGCGGCCTTGTTTTGAAAAACTGACGGGTGTTGTTTTTCATAAGCAACCCATTTGTTGACGGCACTATGGAGTGGCATCGTACTATAGCGAGTGATTGAGTGATAAATGATTCTGATTTATTTGGAGTGCCGCTAACGGCACCGTTTTTGATCCATTGTTCCACACATCGAACTGTCCCCATTGTTTTGTTCTCTTAAGCATGAGTATCCTTTCTCTCGATATTCTCATCTCTTTGGTTCCTTCGCAAGGCTCTTATAACCTTTCAGAAATTCCAGGTGTATTCTCAACTCGAGTTTGTGCAATTCTAGGGTATGGCTGATCCTCCAAACGAGAGGGATCACATGGATGGTGATGGAGTGAAGCGTAGTGTCCGTCCAAACTTCGCAGAAGACGGTGGGCTTTCCACTATTTATAATTTAACTTTGTCCTCTCTAAATCCAAATAAATATAGACGAGCTTTGTAATCATCTTCTTTGCCACTAATGTAGCACAGGGAGGCGAAAAGTTGATGACGTTTCGTTGACGTCACCTAACACGTTAATAACGTGTTTTGGGGCGTCAGTGGGTGTTAGAACGTCATCCTCTACCTTAACAAAAGATGAACCTGCGCCTGCTTTATTTCCGCGTCATCTGAGCTCTCTGTCAACCAAATTTTTGCAGTTTACGGTGATAAAAAAGGAACTCAGACAGAGGAAATCGAATACAGTGAATCTTCTTTGGCCCAAAGACGGTCAGCCTTGTTGGTGAAACTCAAACAGCTCAAAGATTCTCATGGGAACACGACTACGGATGTTATCGGAAATCGTGCAGAAAGTATTGATATGGTAAGTTTTAGTGTATTGCATGAAAACTGGGTGCTGCTCGGCTCAGGGGAGAGGGGCGGGGGGGGGGGGAAGGTGGGGGACACGCACCTTTGCTAGTTCATCTTGAATAACAGGACTCACTGTGGTAATTGTTGTGTACTTGTCAAATCCTACGTGGTGCGTAAATCATTTCGGGGTTTTGAAAGAAAACCAGTGCAGGGATGGAAAATGGTTTATTTTGGCTAGCCAAAACTTTCCAACACTAAATATTTACGCACTATTTTATCTTTTATTGAAAGCCACTCACAGTTGTTGTCCTAAAAGTACATGATTGCATCATTGGTCATCACAATGGGACCATGCACGTGTTTTACAGAGCGAGTCCGATATCGAGTTTGAGTACAACGACTGCGACACACTTCTAAATGAGCTCTCCGAACTCTACACATATTCTGAGCTGGACGACTTTGCCAGCAATATTCAGTGTTGGAAGGTGTATGCCGACAATAATGGAGTAAGTCTCTCTTTTCGATACGTCCTGACGGCGATAGCTTTGCTTCGTATTATACCACCCCATTCATACCTTATGTGCGGGATGCGCGATACACTTGGAGGCCCTAGATATGTAGCAGTTACAGCGGAGGTTGGGAAGTGCTTGCGCAGCATATAGTGCGAGCGCTGTAAGAAAATGGAACAAAAGCCATTGAGCTGGGAGGGTAAGAGCAGTCCTGAAGGTGCAGGGGAAGGCTAGTGCACTCGACCGGAAAGCTCGAAGTGCGGATTTAAGTCGCTTTGGGTCAACACTTTCACACATAGCTCAGCTCAACATTCTTTCGGTAACTTTCGGAGCGCTAAGTGCGCCGCTAAACATCAGTTATCGCACTAAAGGTGCATGGCGCAAATCCTATCCAAGGATAAAGCGAGGGGAACCTGCGCAAAGCTGTTTAAAGCGCGGGAAACCTGCACACGGTTGAACGCGAGGCTGCAAAGGTTGGAGGAGAGCGGCAGGAAAGCTAGGTCGTGTCTGGCCTGACTCCTTCCAAGGCTCAGCCTTTGAGGCATGGAGCAAGTGATCTTTATATCATGTGAGGGCTCATACGAGCAGACGTAGCCGAGGCATTGCGTGCCCCTTTCAATCCCAGTGAATTCTGTATCGTTGATCGTATCACGTCATCTCACAGTGAGATAACGGACGGGGCTCTGGTCCTCCTCACTCTTCTGAGGCTGAGATTTGGGTGAGGAAGAGAGATCACAAATCCGGTGTTAAGAGGGCTGACGAACGAGCAGTCTAACTTGCGCGTTCCCTCGATGGGGCTAGTGCCGTTGGGGGAGGGGAACGGTACTCGTGCAGTGCCAGTGGATCTGCTTGTGAGTTCCTTTCAGAGAGATAGTGATGTCTTCCCTTCTTCGACCTCAAAAGAGGGGGCGCGTAAACGACCAGAGTGGCGTGCGCTCCCCCCCCCCCCTCCCACCAACGGCTTCAAAGTCACTGTAGTGAATTGTACGCCATGTCCTATTCTTATGGGTCGACCCCTTGAGAATATTGCCCTTAAACAGTTTTACTGTAGCACTGCTAGATTATTAAGACTTTTTCTATGTATTGTTCAAGATCCTGGCTCCGTTCCACTTCTCATCTCTACCGGAGGCGAAAAAGATGTTCATTATGCAAGATCTCTGTGCGAGAATGGAAAGTGCTGAACCAGATGTGCGACTCGCCAGTGCTCGAATTGTGCTCTATATTTTACAGGTAAGATCCCACATTGAAGTATTTGAGGCCTTTCAGCCTTCCGAAAAAATCAGAGCAAAATGGGTACTTGTGCCAGCTGTCGCTTCCAACAGTTGGTGCACTCTGAGGCTCGAAAATTGTTCCACCTTGTTCAAAGAGACATTCTGTCAGCTGTTCAGTTTTTTCGGTAGTCGCTGTCTAGAGAAGTTCAAACGTAGTGCATATTTACTTTGCTCGATAAATTGCGTAAATAGCTCATATTGATTCTGAGTTCTTTCGCTCAGTACACAACGTCTGTTTTATGCTGTTTATTTCTCATATTCCCATAAAAAATTTTCCAAAAGAAATCTATTGAAATGAGTGAATGATAAGTCTTAAATGGTTGACAATTCGTTTGTTTTCAGGGCGCGTACCTCGATTTCAGTGAGGAGGAAGAGGTCGAGGCAGGCTTACTGTTGAGTGCTACATCTCTCGATAGAGGAACAGGCGGACATGAAAAGGACTGTATTAGCAACGCATTTTTTAATGCTCACATCGCTTATAAAGCAGGTGCCTACCAGGTGAGTACTTATACTTGACCAAGCAGTCCTATTAACTGGAAATCGTGGGTTAGATGTTTGTTTGCTTGGTTAACTGTTTATTTGTTTGTGCGAAAATTTGAAATGACCTGAGAAGCCGCTTGGATTGATCGGCCCAAGTTTAGGGTGGATGAAGTACGGGTATGAGCACAGATGAAGCGAACTGAACCCCGCTTACTGTGAGCGGCGCGAGCGCAGTAAGAAAGCATTGCCGATAGCAGTGATTCGTATTTTGATCACAGAGTAGCCTTGGGCTCGGTAGAAACGGAGAATGGACAATGGGAGAAGTGGAGAATTTGGTAAATGGAAAATGGTGTAATGGCGATCATCAATGTGTATAGTATAGGTATAAAAAATAAGGTCTTTGCCGTTGATCAATCCCTTTCTCGGGAAGTGGTCCACGTTCTACTTCCATTTACATTCGTGGTGGCTCATTAAGTGCCATGATGTGGCCTTACAATGACTTGTGGGGCCAGCCGAATCCGATTCGGCATTTGGTCCTCGACCGTGCGCCTGGTAAGCGTACCACTTAGCACCTCACCGTCTCTGCCTCGAGTAATGGGTAGATGGTTGAAATTATGGAGGCATATTCATGTGGGGGCAGAGTGCTCTCTGAATGGCGGATCAGCGAAGATGACCCAGTGATTAATGAGCTTCCAGTTATCGTGAAATGTGCCTGAGATAATGTGTTCACCCATTCTGAATAATCACCCCA